TTCTCTCCAAGCACCTCACTTTGTTGTGCAAGTTTGGCTGTGGAAAAGTTCCATTTTCTATTTCCAGCTAAATTTTGAGGGGTTTTCCATTCTTGCTGCCACCTTTCTTGTGCCAGTCCCATAGAGGTGAAGCAGTTTTTATCCTGTTTCTGTATGATTCCCAGGAGGTTTTTTTTGCTGGACTCTATAAACTGTTGCAAAACCATTCCAGTCTCTGTTAGCAAGGGAGAAGGAATGATAAAAAAAAATACTCCCCTAAAAATCCCAGTACTTGGGTCAAAACCAGGAAAGGGTGGACTGTCTGTGCAGCTCATTTTTTGGAAGTATTAGGAAAAATTGGAAACAGCAGTGACGTGACATTGGTGTGAATTCCCAGCAGGCTGGGGTTTGGGATTGTCTGGGTTTTCCTGAAGCCTTTTTCAGGCTGTCAGAATTCTAAAATACAAACCTGGCTGGATCAAAGGGGGCTTGGGGGAATGGCTGCTCCGTGGGATTTGTTTAGGGACTTTTTTCCCCGGTATCCAGTCACCAGCTTTTTCATTCTTCTCCATCCAGCTACCTCTTCTCCTTAATTTTTACCTCAAATATAAATGGTGCAATTAAAAGGGTCAACAGAGTGCTTTCCCAAGGACTGAAACCCAGGATCCAGGAGCAGACAGCAGCAGCATAAAGAGGAATTCTTCCCTCTCTGGCCTCATGCTGCTTTTCCACCGCAAGGCTTTACAGCCATCTGGATCCCCTTTCAGATTATGCCCCCCCCCAAAAAAAATCCATAACCTAGCAACCTTATTTAGTGTCAAGGAGATCATTCTGCCTTCCTGTTCCCAAACTGTGCTTGGCTTCTCCAACTGCCTTTGTAGGATGGCTGCTGGCAGCTGTGATCCCATCACTGGTTCAGGGTGCTCATCTCCAGCAGGGTTTTGTAGGATTATTGATCCATGTGTGTTGCACTGATCATTATTTTCTTCCTTCATTAAAGGAGCTTAAGAAATGGGGAGAAAAGGGTTTTAGGGAGTTGTTTAATCCGTCTGCTTCTCAGTATTAGAGTAGAGAGGGCAAGTTGCTCTGTGGCTCCATGGGAAGTGATTGGTTTTGGTTCAGCCTGAAGACGACTTGATCAAAGTGGGATGTTGGTTTTTTTTTCTTCCAGATGTGATATTTTGGGAGTCCCCATTGCTTCCCACAGCTCTGTGTCATCACCCAGGAATTTTCAAATTCCCTGGAGTGTTTAATACCAATTTCTCTGCTCTGACCCTTCAGCTCTGTAGGCTGAGTGTTTCTCATGGAGTTTCCAATTTGTGTTCCCCAAGGAACGTGTTTATTGGGGAGCACTGTGAATGAGGAAAAGCTACCACTAATGAAGGTGGGAGATTATTCCCACTTGCCTGTGCTCTCATTGCTCTTTTTGGGCTAAAATACACCCAAATTTAATAATGTGTGTCCCACCACCATCAGCCCATAAAGGGAAGTGGTGGCTCCTGCCTCCTCTTTTCACCTCAGGAGTACAAAGAGGGCTGGGGGCAGGAGGAGGCAGCAGCACATCCTTTCCCACCACACTTTTGGGAGGAAGAGTGAGCTCACCAGGTCGTGACGTTGGAACTGCATGCCAGGAAAAGGGGGGAAAAAATAATTACAAATCCCCAAGGCCAAAGGGGAAAAATTCCTCAAGTGTTATTTCATCTGCAGGCAGAGAATTGAGCTGTCCTTGGGCAGCTCGTGTGAGCCTTTCTGAGAGAGGCGCTGCCAGCTCTGCTTCAAACCCTCCTGGGAAGTGATTCCCAACTCTCATTCCTGATGGGAGCTCAAGCAGGGCTCTCCTCCAAACTCTGCTTCCCCCTCCTCCAGACTGTATTAAATCGTGCTATTGATTTTATTTTTTCTTCTATTTATTTTTGCCTGTTTTCCTGGAACTTGCAAAATCAGCCCTGAGCAAACCTCTGGTTTGCTTTTCCAACAGCGCTGGGAGAAAGAACTTGACTTTACAGTGGGTGATGGGAGCTGCAGCTGACCCATTTCTGCACGTTTCTCTGCCAGTGGTAGCAAAAATATTTTCCCACTTAAAGGTTCTCTTCAGTTTTAAAGTTCTGGGATTAATTGTTTCTTCAACTGCCTGGAATCAGAAGGACTTGCTGGAAGTTGCAGCAGTACAGTCGTGCTGCCGGATGTTGCTTTCCTTAGACTTTCCTATTTTTTTCCAATTGCTTTGTCGTGTTGTCACATCACTTTCTGTGTCCCCTGCCCAGAGGCAATGGAGAGGGTTAAGGTTTTGTGTTTGGTGTCAGCCAGCTGGGGAACACAGCCAGGAAATTTCCTGATTCCAGTTCAAAAAAAGCATCGGATCCGCTCTCAGGGAGGAGGGATCAAAGGTCCGAAGCCCTTTGTGCTTGGAGGTCAGTTTGGTTCCTTGGATGTCCAGGCACACAACAAAAACCCACCAGCACCCCCGAGCCTGCAGGCAGCCAAAATGGGTGAAACAAATGGGTTTTTGTAATGTTTGACACCCAGAAGTTCTTTCTGTTGCTGTGATGGTGCTGCATCACCACAGCCAAGCTTTGCTGGATCCTGGTACAGCTAAGCCTGTGGTGTGAGGGACCTGTTGGGATGTTCCCTCTTCTCTAATCAATAACCCTGCCAAGCCTTGCACCATCCCTCATGCTCCTCCATTCCCTGCCAGGTTTGTGGAGTGAAGGCTCTGGGCCAGGTTGGATGCTTGGAGCTGGCATTGGATGTGGCATCCCCATGGTAGCATCGTAGCTCTGAAATTGCATCATGCCAAGAGGTTTTGTTTTCCCCTCACGCTCAGCCCTGTTGTTCCTTGGTTTTGGACAGCAAAGGCCATCACTCCTGGCTGGAGCAGCACTGAGTTTTCCCCCTGCTCCATGATGCATCTGTGTGGCATCTCTGGGGTGACGGTGGTGCTGGTTTGGGGCTGGCTCTGCAGCTGCCTGTGATTTTCCCATCGCCACGCTGCGGATCCTGGCGCTGGACCGGCTCCAGAGACAGAGCTGAAGGAAATTCCTTCCAGCTGCTTGAGGTCAGGGCTTTGCTTTGCTTTTGGGGTCCACAAGGGGGATTTTTTGCCTGCAAGTTAAACGAGGGCGTCTCTGGCTTCTGCTTCTTAACACCTGGAAGAATCTTTTTCTTTTAAATATTATCCCGTTGGTCGTAGCCATTAAATAACCTTCCTCTTGTAGAATCATTCCATGGAAGAATACCCTGCTTTGCAACACAGCTTGGGCTGTTTCAGAAAGGTCTTGTCAGCTGCTCCCAGTTTAACTTTCAACCAGTTAATAACGCTTTTGGTTAAACCTGTCTGAAACACGTTGCGAAACGCTTTTGAAACTCGAGACGCCGTTCACGCCCGCTTGAAACCTTTCCCATCGATAAAATATTCCAGCTTGGAGTTTGGCCACGGCTTAGCATTCACTTTTCCCTGAGATTTCGTGATTTCAGGGCTGCCTGTGTCTGGCTCTGCTGGGTGTTTGAAGCTCAGTGTTTCCTGGAGATGGGGTTGGCTTTGCCAGCCTGGCCGGTGGGATGCCCAGACCACCAGCTCCAACCAATTAATGGCTGAGGAGATTCAGTCTGAGTTTGCTTTGAACCCCTGTGGAGAAAGTTGTTTGTCTTGAAAACATAAAGTAAATCCCTGTAAAAACAGGAGTTTATTTACAACAGCAGAGGCAGAAGCCACCGCTCCACCCAGCATGTGGGCTGTATTTAAGTGTGAGGATGCATGGCCCCTTTATACACTGATAAATATTATTTATTGTAAATAAATAATAATAAATTTTTTTGGAAAAGGACAAGCAGCTCCTTTTTATAAGTGAAATCCCAAGAAGGAACACATGTTCCAATCTATGTGGCAAAGCAGCAGGAAAGCAAAAATCTGCAGCTTTCAGCCCATGGCATTGCTTTTAAGTGGCATCCCTGGTGTCACCTCCTGGCTTCAGGGACCACAGCTCTGCCTCACTCTCCTCCTCTTCCCTGCCTCAGTTTCTCTACCTATGAGAAGACAACTGCATCCTTTATTAATCCCTGTGAGATCTCCTGAGGAACTCTCTGCCTACGAGGTTGGCCCCACGTATTAAGGGCTTGCTGTGGCTCTAATGGGGATTAATTTGGGACGTGGCTTGGTGAGGTTTACCTTTCACAGCCCAACTGTAATCAAAGCCCTGCCACGCTGGAGCTCGCTGACCTGTGACACTCCCTTCCTTGGCTGCTCGATGGGCCATTAACCAGCACTTTGGCTTTTAATTAAAGCTGGGTTTTGTCCTCCTTGGAGAAATGTGGATGTGCTTGGCCCCACGTTGCTGAGTCATTGGAGGGTGTAAGGAAGGAGATGTGGAGCTCAGGTTGTTCTGCCATGTGTGCCTCTCTATATCCCAGGACAAGGAGCCATTGTTCCTTGCTATTTTTCACAGAATCATGGAATTACAGAATCATGGAGTGATTGGGGTTGGAAGGGACCTTAAAGCTCATCTCATTCCACCCCTCTGCCATGGGGATGGACACCTTCCACTATCCCAGGTTGCTTCAAGCCCCATCCAAGCTGGTCTTGAACACTTCCAGGGATCCAGGGGCAGCCACAGCTTCTCTGGACAACCTGTGCCAGTGCCCCCTTTTCTATGTGCAGCCTGTGTCCCCCATCCCAGGGGTTTCAGGGACCTTCTGGGGGCCATGAATGCCCCACAGGCATCATCTCCTTGCTCTGAGATGCCTTGACCATGGAGAAAGCAACAGGGAGGCTTTTGTTCTACACCAGAAACTTTTCATCCTTCTTTATGGCTCCTTTTTTATTTCTTTTGGCTGCGCCCTTGCAAATCTGAAGCAGCTTAAAATACAGTTCCTCCCCCCAACTCCCCTTAAAAAAAAAACAACCCCAAAGCTTGGCTGCTTGAAATCATCAGATTTCACTGGAGTCTTTTAAAGTTAACAGTTTCCTGGATCCTGGGCAGACTGACTGATTTTTCCCCTTTAACCTCCGTGTTTTTTGCTGTAACGTTTCTCAGCTGTTGCAGCAGGAGGGAGGGAGGACCAGGGCAGCAGCTCCAATGTGGAGAAGGTTATTTCACACTGGGGTTGGATGAACCTGGTGTGGGATTCCTTGGATTTGCACCACAGGGGACAGAAAGGTTGTCCCCGGGAGGCTGAGCCCCCACGACATGGCTGGCAGGTAGGTCGTGGCTGCATTCATGACACCCTTCTGGAGCAAAATATTAGGGAAATGATTCCATTGGAGAGGACAGTGGGGTGCTGGGGGTTGGTCTGAGCTCTGTTTCTCCTGCCTGTGTATTTGCTGAGGGCTGTGATGGTTCCTAGCTGTGCTCATGGATGTGGGGACTGCTGCAAGAGAAGCACGGCTCAGGTGCACATGAGCATGAGGAACTTTTCTGGCTTGATGGGATTTGCTGCCCCAAATGCAGCCTTGGATGTTCCTTACCCACGGAATCTCTTAGTGGGATTGCTGAGAAGAGCATCACAAGTTAAAAGAATTGGGAAGGAAAGAAAAGCTGCAGTCCAGTGCTGGTTGGTTTTGTTGCCTGTCCTCCAAGAGTTGTTTCTCCTTCCTTGCAAAAAGTCACCCGGAGCTCTCCCAGACTGAGGACGTTTCTCTGGGGTGGTTGAGGAGCTGGAGGCAGCCAGCCTTGGCCAAAGGCAGTGATTATCAGTGAGGGTGAGGTGGGGCAGCGTCCTCCAGCTGAAACATCCTCATGCCATGGCCGAGGGGAGCCCCTGACCCGTCCCAAATCCCTCTGACCCAGCGGGACTGGAACCCAAACGCAGCCCTGCGACGCCGAGCTGCGCATTAACTCCGCCGGAGCTGGGAACAAAGGTTTGGGGGCTGGATTGGGCTTTTTAAAATTTATTTGCAAAGCAAACCAGCTCAGCTGAGCGGAACAGGCGTCGGTGGAGCAGCGTGAGCTGCCGGGTGGTTGCTGGGCTATAAAATCCCATCCCCACCAGCGCTGGCAGGGGGATGTGCCGGCTCCCCGAGCTCTCAGAGCATTTCCACGTTGGCCAGGAGAGGTTCTGAACATGTGTGTTGGTCTCTGGAGGCTTTAATCAAATCCAGGCTTTACCAGAAATCGCCTCGAAACTTCCAGCGAGCTGAGGAAACTGAAAGCAGCCGGAGCAGGGAGGCTCCCGGGGCTGGCAGGGATGTTGCCTTCAGCAAGGGGATAGTCCCGGTGAGGCGGCCGGGATGAGAGGTGAGTCTGCTCCCCGTGGGAAGTCAGAGGAAAGCCCACAGGGTTTGGCAAAAAGGGGGGCTCAAGGGGGAAAGATTTGTGAGTGAGGACACTTGGATTTTGGAGCATTGCTCCCTGGCATGTGTGGGTTCAGATCCTGCGGTTTCCCCACGGTCTTCCCACCCTGTGCAAAATGAGGAGCTGTGCAATTACTGCGCCGTGGAAAACTCCCTGCTCCAGGGGAGGGTTTTGTTATCCCTTGGTGATTTTATTTGGGAAACAGGGCTCAGACTGCAGGTACTTTCCTTGCTTGTAAAACTTTATCACACGTTGCTCTCCTGTGGGCAGAAGGGAAAACAAGGTGTATTTTTAACTTCCTTTTCTAAGCTGGGGGCAGGGGAACTTTATGCCCGGCCAGCAACGGTTGTGATCATCTGAGGGTGAAGGGTTCAGAGAATGAGAGGAAGATAAGAGATAATAAATGAGAGCAATTAAAATCCTGGGGGAGAGGATTTGCTGGAATTGTTATCCCAGACAGCTGCTCGGGGTTTAATTGGGGCTCTCCAAGGGGAGGGAGGTTTTGGTCACGGGTCCCAGACGTGGGACATGACAGCCAAAATTGCTGCCTCTTCTTCTTGGCCGTCTCTTGCTGGTGCCTCGGGGCTTTCCTGGGGGGAAGGAGCCTGGGGCTGTGCTGAGGAGTAAAGCTGAAACCTGCAGAAGTGCTCTTAAACCACCAAACCCATGTCTCAGATGGGGAAACAAAGAAAGCCTCCTTTAGAGTCCATAGTCTCCCCATAATTTCTCTCAGAGGCACTGCTGTGTGTCCTGGGAATGTCCTTATCCTCTTCCTTTTCATCTTTGATGATTTTGGTGGGGGATTTCTGTGGAATGAGGAGTCAGTCTTAAAAACCACTGGAGGGGAAGGGAAGGCAAACTTGCTCCAAGGCTTCCTGGCTGCTTTCAGTATTTTTTCCAAGTTACTGTGGGGTTTGAGGGACACTGGCTGCAGCTGGGGCTGCTTGGATGCAATTCCCACCGTCCATCTCATCCAGTGTTAACTTGAAGGATGATGTGTGAAAGGAAAAGAGCTGGAGGAGAAGCTCACAGTGGGAGAAGGAAAATCCCAGCCCCAGGTGATCCAGCCCTGCTTTGTTTTCAGGGTTACCAAGATGAGAGCTTGGTTTTGGGCAAGGAGGAGGGGATGAGTGAGAAGTCATCTCCAGCCACCTCCACATCCATCCAAGGGACCACTGGTCTGCAAAGTGCATCCCTCAGGAATGTCACATCCCTGTGTTTTCTCCCTGTCTCCACAGCCTACCCATGAGCTCAGACTTCCAGCATTACAGTTTCAGGATGCCGAACATCGGGTTCCAGAACCTTCCTCTCAACATATACATCGTGGTTTTTGGCACAGCCATCTTCGTCTTCATCCTCAGTTTGCTCTTCTGTTGCTACTTGATCAGGTAAGGGAATATTGTAAGGGAATGTTCTCCAAGAGTTCCACTGCTTCCAGGCCCATCACTGATCCCTCCATCCCAAAAAGAGGATGGCAGCATCTTATTTCCTTGACACATCTTGTGTCAACCTGACATCCCACAAAGCAGTCACATTATCCACTTCAAACCAGGAGATACACATTTGCTAATAAAGGTATGGAATTGTGGTCAGCTTCTCAGAAAACCTGGAAAGGGATGTTTCATGGTCCCTGCTTTCTGCTTAATGTTTCAACACATTTCCCTCTGTAATGAGTAACTCGTGTCCTGCATGCCTAAGGAATGTTTAATACCTGCTCCGTTGCTTATTGAACACAAATTGCTCCTTCAACGGCACAGTTTGGAGATTAATGATGCAGAGTTGATGTGTTAATCTGAGCAATGGGGGAGCAGGATGGCAGGGTTAAAGGTTGTTTCAGTTTGGGGCTTGTTTTAATTATTTTATGGGCCATTGGGGAGATTGTTGGGCTGCTAATTGAGAGGAGAAACTCTTCCTGACAGAGGAAAAATGAGGCAAGTGGGGAAAAACCACAGTGCCTGAGAATTGAGGTGGTGATGGAGATGACTTGTGCTGATAACCCAAGATGGAGGCTGGCTGTGCTTAAGCCTGTGCCTGGGAGCAGAGGTCATCATTCTGCCAGCAATGGTACCCAAAATTTTACATTCCCAGAGCTCTCCTCTCCAACTTTTCCATCCCCTTTCCTTCCCCTCTGTCTTTCCAGCTGGCCCCAGCTCCCTGCAAGCTGTGCATCCATCACATCCCTTCCCTGGTACCCAGTCTCTCCCTGCACCACAGCAGCCAGTCCCACCAGGTTATCTATCCAAAGGGTGTTGGAAATATTTTATCCTGCTCTTGTAGACCAGGAAAATGAGATTTCAATATCAACCTTCTAAATACTTGATAATTCCCACCCATTTTCAGTTGTGTATGAAGCAAAACCTCATCAAACATGCAGATGAGCCCAAACCCAGGTTTACCAAGGGTGATTTGGGCTGCTTGGGCATCATATCTTAATTTTTTTTCCCCACAATTATGAAAATTGTGTTTCGAATGTGTATGAAAATAAACTAGAGGTGTTCAGAGGACTCAAGGACTTGTTTTGCTGAGGTAGAGCTCGAGTCTATATGGCTCACTTAGAAAATTGCAGGGGTGTGTGGACTTGGAGAGTATTTTCCTGGGCACTCGCTGGGTGTGTTATGCCCCAAAGAAGGAATAACAAGGAGTAATGTCTGGAAGGTCAAGCCAGAAAATCTTTAAATTTAGAAGCTGGAGGCGTGTTGTAAGAGAGAGAGGGTGAGTAACCGGTGAGAGAAGCCAGCAAGGAAGTGGCAAGTCCTCAGTCTCCTCACGTCTTTAAATCAAGACCGAGGACCTTTCTGGACGAGACGCCTTGGCTCCTGTTCCCGAGGTGCTATTTAGCAACCCATGATAGATGTGGAGTTGGATTAGGTCATCCAGTGATCCCTTTATAGCCCAAAACCCTAGAGAGACTCCACAAATGGCTCTTCAGCCCTCCTCCCTCAGCTCTTTTATTGGCAGAACAGAATGAAAACAGGATCCTCCAGCCCCCATTGTGGAGGGTTTTGCTGTGCCGTGGGTTTTAGCTGTGCCAGTGTCCCAGGAGCATCCACCTCCACGGAAGCTGCTCTGTAATCTCAGCTCACCTGGGATATAAAAGTCTGAATTTTGGAAGCATTGTAGGTGGACAACAGGATGAAGACCACCCACCTGCAAGGGCAGAGAGACCAACAGAAGGACAGGGTGGTCCCCTCCAGAGCTCCAGGGCTCTGCTTCCATCCATGGGGGTTCTTTGCAGCTAACAGCAGCTCCTGCTTTTCCCCTAGGTGCAGCATCAACACAGCCCTTCCTCTCCCTCCCTTCCCATAACTCCACATCTCCAAATAGTTGGCAAACACCAAGCAAGGCTCATGACACCATCCTCAGGCCCTGGTTCTCATTTCCTGCTCTGGATCAGAGCAGCCCCTGCAGCTCTCCCTGAATCCCCAGCTGGGGAGGCATCCAGAGTGTGGAAGAGCCAATATCAGGTATATTCACCCCAAATCACAGAGCTGATGGCATTAAATAAAAGATGTGCTGGGGAAGGAGAGGACATGGGCTGTGCTTTGCAGCTGTGTCAATACAGGCTGTGCTGCCTGCTCCAAGGGAAGGAAAAGTGACATTTTTAATTGGATTGGCTCAAAACAAGAGTCCAGTTTCACAACAAAAATCATCATTGCCTGTGTATTGTTCAGGTGAACCTCGAGCTTTTCTGGTGCTGCAAACCACTCAGGTCAGAGCTCAGGTCCCTCATGGCTGCTGCCTCTGCTCAGCAAGATTACAGATAAAAAAGGAAGAGCAAGGAAATGAGATTTTGCAAGCTGCTGGTCGTGTCTGATCTGTGCTGAATTAATGAAAGTGATAAACTGATGTTGCCTTTGGTCCCATAAAGCCCAGTCCAGAAGGATGCTGAGCTGAGCAATGCCACCCTTGCTGTGGGTCAAGTCTGCAGCATCTGTGCTTTGCTGTGGATCATCCAGGGCTCATCCCTGCCCAGCCTGGAGCAGCTCAAAGTCTCTAGGAAGCTCAGGGTACACAGCACCTAAAGAGCCTTTTTTTTTTTTTTTTTTTGGTTTGTTTCCTTCTGCATTCAGACCTGCCAGGACCCAATACAGTGGTTAGGTTTTGTGTTCACAGGAAGGAACAGAGCTGGGAAAGGATCTGGAGCCCCAGGAGCAGCTGAGGGAGCTCAAAGGGGCTCAGCCTGGAGAAAAGGAGGCTCAGGGGGGACCTTGTGGCTCTGCACAGCTCCTGACAAGAGGGGACAGCCGGGGGGTCGGGCTGTGCTCCAGGGAACAGGGACAGAAGGAGAGGGAACGGCCTCAGGCTGGGCCAGGGGAGG